TAGATAGAAGCACTGTGCATTCGCACTTATAGTAAAATTTATATATAAAAAAAAATTTTTTATCCAGGTGACTGGCGGATTGCATATTAAAAAGGAATGGAAAAATCTTGCAAATTTATCTGTTAATAATATATATTTAACAGATATTAATAAATGGATTTGTAATTGCTCTGCATTTTTCACAAGTCGATTTTTTATATGTAAGCATCTTGTACAAAAAAAAGGAAACGTGACAGCTGAATTTTTTAATCAAGTTTGCCACCATCACCAGTATCCCTTTATTAATATCTTACCTGAACCTGAATTAGTTAATACTATTGAACAATCTATAGTATTAACAGATAATACTGATACTGAATATGAACCAAATTGTCAAAATATTGAAGAAAACACATAAGCATGTGAAAAATTATATGCTTAACTTATCGAAGTAACTGAACAAGCACTTGAAATTCTCAAGGATCAACGTGATAAAAAAATTTTAAGTAGGCAAATAATGTTAAAAGAAATTATCCGAAATTGCTTCATACAAGCGAAAAAGAACAATGCCACATACGTTTAAAGATCATTCACGCAATACTTTATTTTTTAACTAAATTTGGTTAATAATAAACCTTTAAAAGAGTATATATTTTCTTGTATTACTCATTGCTTTGCACTTTATACTCTACATTTTAAATGTTAAAAATTTTATTGCTTTATATTTGAATAAATAAAAGAGAGCTGTTATTCATACCCTTCATGTATACTAAAATTTTTTAAAACTTGAGCGATATTATCTTAACACCCACTAAAGTTAATTTTTTTTATTTGAATTTGAGCGAAGATATCTCAACACTTACCAAGCCAAATTTGAAGAATTTTTTTATTTAAATTCTATGAATATATAGAATTTAAATAAAAAAACATTCATTGAATTTGGCTTGGTAGGTGTTGAGATATCTTAAAGATTTATAAAATTCAAACATTGATCAAAGAGCTGCGCCAAACTTTTTTAAAACTTTGGGTGAAGATATCTCAACAATCACTAAGCCAAATTCGATGAACTTTTTTTTATTTGAATTCTATAGATTTATAAAATTTAAATAAAAAAACGTTCCTTGAATTTGGCTCAGTAGGTGTTGAGATATCTTTACTCAAAGATTTATAAAATTCAAAACATCTATCAAAAAGAGCTGCGCCAAACTTTTTTTTAGACTTTGGGCTAAGATATCTTGACACTCACAAAGCCAAATTTGATAAAATTTTTTTATTTAAATTCTATGAATATATAGAATTCAAATAAAAAAATTCATTAAATTTGGCTTGGTGAGTGTTGAGATATTTTAACTCAATGTTTAAAAAAAGTTTGGCGCAGCTTTTTTTGATAGACGTTTTTGGATTTTATAAATCTTTGAGTAAAGATATCTCAACACCTACCAAGCCAAATTCAATGAATTTTTTTTTATTTGAATTCTACATATTTATAGAATTCAAATAAAAAAAAAACTATTAAAATTAACTTAATGGTTGTCAAGATAATATCGCTCAAAGGTTTAAAAAAATGTATTAATGTTAGATTTACAATTTATATGTTGTATTACATAAGTCACGTGAGGGTGAAAATTTTGATGGCAATACTGGGGTAATTACTGGTTAGTTGCCAACTATAGTTGGCAACTAACCGGTTGGTAAAATTTTAACAGTTTGGGACACTATTGGTGGTGATGTACGTAGTACTTAATATGTAACTTAAATTCACTATAATATATATAAGACCTTAATAAAAGACACCACTAGCATTTCAACTGCTTTAGGCAGTTCAGAGAATTTAAAAAAAAATATTTTAAAACCATTTTTAAACCATTTTAAAAACAAATTAATTATATTTATAGAAAAAATATATTTGTAACAGCCTGTTAATGTTAAATTTAGAGTTAATGTTAGTGCTAAGGTTAGTGTTAGGTTAGGTTTAAAGTTTATATTAAAATTAATACAAAATTGCAAGAGAATCATTTTTCATTAGTATATCTGAAGCAAGTTTATTAGTAAAATTTGTGTTATAAAAAATTTTAAGTATAGGCTGTTATGTAACAGGCAGTTACGAATAGATTTATTCTTTCAATAATATTAAAATAATATTTTAAAAACATTTTTAAAAAGCTTATTTTAAATCATTATTAAAATATAATAATAATGT